TTTAAATCCTGATCTGATCTAGTCCAAGAGTCAATGCCTACATCCACTATCCATATTATAATAAATATAATTATTGCTGAAATTTCAGTTGAGTAACAACAAAAGTCTGGCAACTGAGTAGGCTTCAGAAAGTCAGCCAAATCAACCTCCCAAGGTTTTCTCCTTTTTTTTTTTTTTTTTTTTTCCTCCAGGAAAAGTATGTCATAGAGTCATATCTCTCAGAATTTCAGAATTAGGCTTTTAAAGCCCTATTCTTCCTGGTAATTTGGTATCATAGAAGCATGAGAATCAAAGCAGGGAACACTTTAGAGCACAAAATTTCTGTTGAGTACAAGTTTCTGATCATCAGCTAAAAGTGGCTAATGTATTTCAGGAATAAGATCATTGTTCAAGCTGTTCTATATTCCTGTTAACTTTCTGCTTGGGTTACTAGAAGGAGCAGGGGCCTGAACAGGTTCTGTCTATCCTGTGTAACTCATTATCTTCATAAGTGCTGGGAAGATGCTACTAATGTTATATGGAGAAAATCTTATGTTCCCCACAGATTATTAATTATACAAAGAAGAATCTGCTTTCCCACTGTGTTTTCTTTCACTGTTTTCATGAACATAGATGGACCTAGCCAAGTAATAAATACAGGCATTTGACTTGATTTCATGTTTTGTTTGCTACGTGAAAAACATGTACCTGTCAGCAGTGGGCTGTTCCTAGAAGATACAGATTTTTCTAGAGCTTTTGCTTTTATAAGCTTCTGCTGATATTGAGAAGAAAGCATTTCTAAGTTTTATTAATAAAAGATCAAAGGTAATGCCTAAACATCATTGGAAGCATTCTGCTTAGCATAAATTTTCCCCCTCAAATTGCTGCTGGAAATGTGGCCAATCAAACTACTGAATTCAAAATCTAGAAATCTATATAGTAACCTTTTAAAGATTGTAATTGTCTGGACAACAAAGCTGTAAAAAAAACAAAATAATAATAATAAAAAATAAATCTTCTTCCAATATTCTGGCTTGCCTATATTTGGAAGATTTTTTATACATTGTGCTTAAACACAATTATTGTGCCTCACCCTATCTTCTTCCACCCCAGAACAGGAAACAAACCCTCTTAAATTTAGTATGCTTCTATCAGTCTGTGGGAACATCTCTCTAGTTTGAGTTACTAAAATCTATCATTCGCTTCTTAAAAGCTGGATATGTAAGCTCTCTGTCTTCCATGTAGACAAAACAAACACATCTAGAGAGAGGTTTTTGTCACCAGCTTAGCTCAGAAAATCTGTAGAGAGTCTAGATGACTAACAAACTAGATGTCTAACTTGCAGATGACTTAAATAAGGTAAGTCACATCATAAGAGTTTCCTAGATGTCTCTATGTCTCATAACTAAAACCAAGCTAGGTTATAACCACCTCTAAACATACAAATTTTTTAACAGTTCAAATAATTCCTTCTGTTAAGAGTAATACAAGACACTGTCTACATGTATCTAGTAATTTTTTTCTTTTTATCTTTTTGATTTTTACTGCCGTGGAACCATTTTTCCTAGAGTTTTCATCTGTTTCTGAAGTTCTGCAGGTATACACAATAACAGTAAGTCAATGAAATTCAGAACATCCAAAAGCCTCCAAGGATTTTGCTTTCGCTGACTAATCCACAGTTAGAATATCTGAAACAATATAGTGAAGAAGTTGGTAATAAACATCTCACTACATCCTCCTGCCACTCCAGCTACATCCAATATAAACTCAGAAGATACATGGGTAAAAGCTTTAGGCCTTTTCCAACAGTCTTTTTTCTGACAGAAGCTAGATGACAATACAAGTTAAAGCCAATGCCACTGCAAGTTCTTCCTTGCTTTAGGGAAGCTCTTTCCAGACTTAACTAGAATTGCTCTTTACTGTATATTACAGTATTTAGGCAGATATCCTCTCCTCCACAAAGATCTAGGGTACATTAAAAACACAAGTCATTCCAATCAATTGAGTCAATGACACAGCAACTAAAACTACATTAAGTAGTGCCTTGATACAATAAACTATGACAACTCAGAAAGGAGTTGTTTGATTTTATTGGGACATTGATCTGTGAAATAAAGTTTCCCTAAGTTATCTACTGTAATACTTTCTAACAGCTACTTTAGAGACATTGCAATGATTTTGGGGTCAGTGATCTAAAAAAAAAAAAATAATCACTAAAATCACTACATTTTAACCTTGGAAGAATATCCTTTATTCATAGAGCCGTAGCAGAAAGGTATATTTAGTGGACTACCTTTAGTTGTACTTGTTACTTTCCTTGAACTTACCCGTGTTTTGGTCAAATAGTTCTCTGTCCTTTTTAAACAGAGAATATGCTTCAAATACCAGTCAATAGTTTTGGTCATCCTTCTTCATGAGGTCTAATATCTTAAACTTAGCTGTATAATCAGAGGTAATTGTCAAGACTCCTATTATTTTAAAGAAAATATTAGGAATATCTACAGGGTGATTCATCCCACCTGCTCTATCCATGATGGGCTGAATTGCTTTCTGGAAGTGCATTTAAAAAAAAAAAAAAAAGCGGGGGGGGGAGAGGTAAGTGATGATGAGTACTATCTTAGGCTGAATGCCTGTCTTTATATCTTCACTTGCTTTTATCTCTTTATAGTCCTTCAGTCTATTAACTCATAGCCTCATCTGTAACTGGGCTGAGAGTCATTGCCCTATTGTCCTCAACTGCGTATTAAGGTGCTTACCTAAACCATCAAGTTGCCTTGTAGCTTAGTACACTCTTTCTTAACCTACTGTGCAATCAATGCAGTCAACACAATACTTACAACATATTTCAGAAAGCCAGATTCCATGTCTTTTGCTGAGTCACATAGTATATTAATTGTATTATTGTAGATTCACTTTCTTGTCTAACAACTGTGGATTTATAACAATGGAGCTGGTCTGCATCATTAGAATGGATTTTGCAAGTCAGCTTACACACCATGGTGACCAGGGTGTTGATACAGACTGAATTGCAATGACTTGGATGATAACCCATAGCTGCTTGAAATGCAGACAACTCTGTTTAGGTGATAAAATCAAAAGAATAAAAGCAGAGGTCCTATATTTTGTGACAGTTTCACATGTGAATAAGGAAAGGCTGCACATAGGCATTTGTCTTTTCTACCTTCTCCCTTTCTCCAATAAACACCTGGTGTATCTCGTGCTTGTAGCTGGTGACACATTTCCATAGATGCAGGCACATTCCCGGGGGCTTGTTGAAGCAATAACATGGTGTACATTCAGGAATGTACCTGCATTTATTGATCAGTGGGGCAACAAGCAACAAGGAAGATCTGAGACAGTTAAATGAAAGAGGAAAACTCAGTTAAATGCAAGATGAAAACCTGCCCATTGGTTGTGCTGACATGACACAAGCAATGAGTAATAATACCTTGCTCATAGCAAGAGGTGAACTTTAAAAAAAATAAATAAACTTTGCTCCATATGTTACACCGTAATCATTACCACAGCAGTTATTTTTCATTCTGAGTTGTGTAGGGCATTCAGAAAGAAGGTATAAAAGTCTGACTGGAAAGGAAACTTGCATGATAAATAGCACAAGTGTTTCCTACAGACCGGCTAGTTCATGCCTGTGTGACTATGATGATAAATAGTCACTTGTTGACGTACTACAGGGAGGATGATAATATCCTCAGATTAATATCCATTATTTCATTGGCTTTGTCAAAAAGGGATTAAACTTTTCCAACCATTTAGTTGTTCTACCACCTCCCTGAGAAAAAGCAAATGCTTTCCGATGAAAGATCCTACAACACAACTTGGATCCAAACATCGAGTATCCAATATCATCCTACTATATCCTAAGTAATGTGTCCTGTTTCTGCACAAAATGCTATATAAGCTTCTGAGAAAGAGAGTTTAGCAAAGCAGTTATGTGAAGCAGAACAGGTGGATCTCTAGACATAAAGCAGATGACATAGGATTCATGACTGAACTCTTCTATCTCTGTGATAACAAAAATAAATCTAGAGGGAATTCCAGTCAATCACTACAAACTATAATAGAGTCACTTCACTGAACTGAATTATCTTAGAGTTACTTTCATACATACAAGACCACAAAACTAAGATCTTTGCGTAAGCCTTATCCTCATGCCTTCTCCACTGTTTACATGTTGGAGGACAATATTACAAATGCAGGAGTATACACTGCAAATATCTCAAAAGAAATATTGAAGCAGAAAGGGTGATAATCTGGTGAGAGTGAGGCATTTAATCATGGTGAATCAAAAAGAGTTGTGCAAGCAGTCTTTTAGAGTGCCTCAGATTCAGGCTAGAAATAGAAATGCAGCAACCAGCAACATCCACAGATATAGAGCAGCTGGACAACCTGTACCCATATAGCTATACATATATTTAATTCAGAGAGGTTATTATTCTTGCTTTATTGTTGCTATTGTATTACAAGAGTGCCTACATATTTCCTCTGAGATCTGTGCACAACTGTGTTAGATGCTGCATAAATAGGATAAAGTAGTCCCTGCTGAAGTCAACAGAAAGATGCTTTGAGAGAGTGTAGATCAGGCTACAGATGTCCTAAAATTTGCCAGGCTGTAGCTATTAATAAGCTATTCCTTTCCATCTCTCAGTTCAAAATCACATGGGGGGAATTAACAAACAAAAATACCAGTACAAGGCTTAACATGATGCAAAAGATCTCCTGCTAGAAAAGATGGTGCAAAAAGGAGGACAAAGGCAGGTGTATCCTACAATGAGTGGTGTTAGGACAGATGCTGCTCTTTAGTTTAATGTATTAAACAGCCTGTGGAGCATCCATTTAGCCAGCAAGGTCACTCCATCTTTGAATGCATGTCAGCTCAGACTTGGGAGAATTGGTTGGTTAAATCTCTGTGTACTCTTGTACTAATAATGTAAACATTCTCCACCCTCAAAACAGCCCCCAATGTTTGTCTTTATCATCTTCATATAAATGTCAAACACTATTTGCTTACATTTGCATAGAGCCTCTGTGCTTGTCACTATGATTAAAGATCTGGTATCACAGCTGCGCAGCACAACCTGAGGGGGAAGAAAGAAGAGTCAGTCTTTTCCTCTCAAGCAGAAAATGTTGTGGAATTGCTAGCATGTTGGGTAGGTGCACTCATTCAGGGGACAGAAGAGAAGCTGCATTAAGCAGAATGAATAGCAGTAACAAAACATGTTAAATGATAAACTATATTTGATACCCAAGGCTAGGAATCTGCACGTCCTTTTCTTTTCTCACTGACTGATTTTGTGTTTAGGCAAGTCACTTCACCCTCCTGCCCAGTGTTTCCCCTTCCACAATTTATTTTAATCTTTAAAGATCTTGATGTTTTCCAAGAAAAGTTTGCCTCCTATTCTATTTTTGTACTGCACCTAGCACAAAGTGACAGCAGTCATTGTTTAAGCTTCTATTTACTGCAATAATAAATGATCTAGATGGTTATTTAGAAAAGGAAGTTAAGATACTTGTGGGAATAGATCGGTAATTAGGAAGGATATGAATACCTTTTGTAAAGAATAGGATAGAAGCTTCAGGATACCTTTGAATTTCTCTATAAGGTCACTGAGTAGCAAAGGGAAGCTTATCCTCAAGCTTAAGTTTCCCTTGCTTCTGGAAACACTCAGAAAGACAGAACCAGACAGCCCCAAAACAGCTGATCTAGGCCTTACATCAGTCAGTGTTTTGACAATCTCCATGTTATTGCTAATAACTTGCATTTATGTAGAGTTTCTTATCAGTAAACTTCAAGTGCATCTCATTCTTCACTTAATTGAATACCCTGAAGCTTAGACAGCTTGTGTGGGGGACTCTGGCTGTGTCCTATTCCCAGCCAGTTAGTAAAGCAGAAAGGCCATGTTGGAGATGGAGCACTGACTAAGAGGTAACAAGCTCATAGTGAGCTAGGAACAGAGCACAGTGATGACAAGCTGTGCTATAACCATTAGGGAAAATGGCCACACATGTCGCCAATTCTATACCTAAAGAAATTCCTTCATAATCCAGAAAATGAAGGGTCAAAATCTTAATAACCACTCTTCTCTTCATAAGCAGAATTGCCAGTAAACTCCTATCAAATTATTTTTAGGACAGAGTCTTCAAACTTGGTTGTTAGAAACTCTAGGTAATGCAAATGCTTAAGCATGAATTCAGGCACATAATTTCAAGCATACAGGACTTAATAAAAAACAAAACAAAAAAAAACCAGTCTGTTTCGTTGGGTTTACTAGGGCCAGTGGTGTCACTGATGTGGACACTCTCCCTGTAGCGTTCCATATGTCTTAGGAAAATGTTCTTTTAGAATTTCCATGCCACCAGAAGTCTGTATACAGTCAATTAATAGTAACGGCAAGAAGGATCACCCATTTTCATTTTATTCTATATACATTTTGCATACATGTTATCCTGACATCACCCTTTCTCCAATGACCCTTTAAAGTATATAGAAAGATGATGGATAACATAATTCATAAATCTATCCCTCCATTCCCGTGTGTGGTTTATTTTCCATGCCTTTGATAATGTCTGACATCTACCTCTGCCTCTCCCTGCTTTTGTCTTTTGTCATGTCTTGCTATTCCTGGATCTTAGACAGACTTTCAAGCTTTTTTTGTAATATTTTCTGCTCCCTCCCACACTGTTGCTTTCCTCTGTCTTAGTTTTCAGCTACAAACCCAGAGAGGGAAAGTAATATGACAGCAAGCCAAGGCTTCTTTAAGTTATCTGTCTCTGGACACATACTTGCAGCATCCTCAAAGTGGCTCAGTCTTCTATTGTATCTGTGGGACTTTAAAGGAAAGGGATTCAGCCATTATGCTCTTGAAAGTCACTGAACTACCAAACAAAGTGGTTTCTTTGCTTTTAACTTCCTTGGGAAACTCAAGTGACTTCAGGGAGGAGAGCTGTGTGCAAATGTTCTGACCTTCACTGCTTTATGTTTGTGTTAGCATCATCTCTCTTTCCCCTTAAGTACCCTGATTTGCATAATGTTATTCAGGTTTCTCCATTAGCTCTTTATATCCTGCACATCCACCTCGTGGCTGCCCAGCTCCAAATGCCCTGTGGTCATTCCTCAAGATTTGTGCATTGGTAAAGGTTCATGAAGTTTTCTTGCACTCAAGTGGCCAAGCACTTCTGTTAGCAAATGTTGTACATGGGGTGTGCCTCTGGGAACTCCTCTAGAGAAATTAAAAGTGTTCCACATCAGGACATCAGTTCTTGCCAGAGTTTTAATCTGTGACTGAGCGCAAATCTGACAGCACTGTGGCTGCTGTGGGACAGTCATCCCACTATATCCAATCAACTTCCACAATAACTGATAAGATCTTTTCTCATTTGACTGTATACACCTAAAACTTAGGTCTCTGGTGTCAGCTGATCCATTAAGTTGCTTTGACAGCCTAGAAACAGAAAGCTTTTAGTGGGTTAATTATCCATCTGTCTTTGACACCAAAACTGGATGTATATGTAATTAAGTATTTCAGGATCTTTGTATTCTTGAAGACAAGCAGCACATAAGAGGCCATGTGCCAACTCCAACAAGCTCCATAACATCATGGCAGCATCTAAACCACACCTAGGATGGATGTGGAGAATCAGGTCCCAGTGCCTGGGTGCGTACCTTGGCTTTCCTTCAGGGACTTGGGTTGATATAGCCCTGGAGTCCAGAAGGGCCTTGGCTGTGTTGGAACTGTGCAGCCTGGCCTCTGCTTGAAGACCAAGCCCCACCAGGGAAGAAATGCTCCTCACCCTAGATTTCATGGCATAGTTATTCTCAGGACAAGAGATCCCTGTAGCCTCCAGGCTAGAGGTTATTTTGGAACTGATATATTTATTCATGCTTCCTGTTGAAGCTGGCCCACTGCATGGAAGAGAATTCAGGACTCTTGGGTGAGGTAAAGGAAGCAGAAATAAGCCTGGCTCTGCAGCCTGTGAGATCACTCACTTGGCAGAGGAGTCCTGTGTTCCAGTCTTTTCCTTTAGGGATTATTCATGCTTCTTCGTCAGTGAAGTATTCAGTGTAAAATGCATAGACAAACCCATGGAGCAAACTCTGTAGTCCAGAAGTCACCACCTAGGCATATGCACTAGTCACTGTGCCAAGCATTGCAATACCTAAGTCCCCTCTAGGGTCTAGTCTGCATTTTATATTACATAAGGAGCCCTTTCATTAATGGATAAGCAGAGTCAGCCAGTCACAAAAGAAGATGCTTCAACAGAAGGACCCACCCTATAGGCCCCATGATAGAAGAATATTTGGTCCTAGGGGCATCTTCACATGCCCAGTGTCACAGCACCCAGCCCTTGTGTGCCTCTTGCTGCCATGAGTTAAGGCTCAGTCCCCCTCCTGTGATGGATTTGTCTCTGACAAGTCAAAAGGAGATGGCCTCAGCATAATCAGCCTGACCACTGGAATTGTCAGTCCAGCAAAAGTCTTTCCCAATGAGGTCGTTGTACCATATTAGATGAGAATTTTTGGCTTCTTCTTGAGGTTCGTAAATACGAATTATTTGCTAATTGTCTGTCTCTCTGATGGAATGCCAGACTCTGCCAAGAGGCATTGCTCTAGACACTGCTTTCTACTTAATATGAAAACTCAAGGCCAAATCTGCTCCTGATAGATTCCCTATGGAAATATATTGGTTTTAATGAGATTGTGTTGCTTGTGAATCAGGAAAGACTTTGGCTTTGAAATCCTGATTCTATTGATTCATAATCTAATAGCTATAAAGGAGCATTATGCCATTCTAGGCAATAGCAATTGCTCAGCAAAGAAAATAAACTTTCTGGAAGTGCTGATGTTGATCTGGATACACTTTGGAAATAAATGCCAGTTAAGGAAAAATAGATTGGCAGAGAGTGCTCTTTGAAAGGAACCTCTGGACAAACAAACCAGTGTGGTTACCCAGAGCAGCAGAACTGTGGCAAAGAGGGGCTTAGCATCTCAGGATCGAGGAGATCTTCCTTGTCCTAAGTTAGTAGTGGGGCTCACCCACTCAGATTACCTACACTGCAGTCACACAGTCTCTACCAATGGGCAGCATGCTGAATTACTCTTGCCTCACAATGCCTCAGCATCTCCACTCCCTGGTTACTTCAATTTGCCACGTGGTGTTCCTTCTTTAAAAAGCACTTCCTTCCCCAGCTTTTCCTTTGAAACCAGAGGCAGAAGTTGCAAGTGTCTGTACATATGGCTTCACTTTTCTCGTCCCTTACTGAACAGCTGAAGGCCGATAACTTCCCTTCTCATATCTTAATTTAGGTGAGAAGCTTTTTGCTGGAGACAGTGACCTTTACTTCTCTGAAAATGCTATTCACAATTATGCTGCTGTCTAAATAATGTCTGTGGTTATATTGAGGTGAACTAGGCACCTCGTAAATAATTTCACTAAATTCCATTACTGCTGAACCAAAGAAGAGAGTGAAACTTATTTACGAGAGAGATTTTCAATTTGAGACACTGCCTCATTTATTCTCCTTCCTTCTCCTGCCCCACAGTATTAGAAGAGATATAGCTTTAAGAGGGAAATTTTAAAAAGAAAGAGAGGGGGAAGGAGAGAAGAGAAGAGAGTGAGTGAGAGGAAGAAAAAAGAAAAGAAAAGAAAAGAAAAGAAAAGAAAAGAAAAGAAAAGAAAAGAAAAGAAAAGAAAAGAAAAGAAAAGAAAAGAAAAGAAAAGAAAAGAAAAGAAAAGAAAAGAAAAGAAAAGAAAAGAAAAGAAAAGAAAAGAAAAGAAAAGAAAAGAAAAAGAAAAGAAAAGAAAAGAAAAGAAAAGAAAAGAAAAGAAAAGAAAAGAAAAGAAAAGAAAGAAAAGAAAAGAAAAGAAAAGAAAAGAAAAGAAAAGAAAAGAAAAGAAAAGAAAGAAAAGAAAAGAAAAGAAAGAAAAGAAAAGAAAAGAAAAAGAAAAGAAAAGAAAAGAGAGAGAAAGAGAGAGAAAGAGAGAGAAAGAGAGAAAGAGAAAGAGAGAAAGAGAGAGAGAAAGAGAAAGAGAGAGAGAAAGAGAGAGAAAGAGAAGAGAAAGAGAAAGAAAGAGAAGAG